TCCTTCGGACTGCAAAGAATATTTGAGAATTACTGTGATAGAAGAGCAGTCCGCCAAAGAAAGTTATTCATTCATTTTCTCAGTGAAAGGTCTACTGTTGAGTCATAGCCTTGTCAAAGTTACGTGCCCCAGGAGACAGTGATGGTTCACAGGAGGTCAGACTCCCTGATAAGCCCTGGGGTTAGCAGAACAATACAGAAAACTATGCCCTTGAGTAACATAAAACAAAATCCATGATGCAATTCACACGCAGGTAATAATTGGTTAAAGTACTACGTTCACGTCCGCCTCCATTCTTATGTCTTTTCTCATCCTCATCACACCTAATTACCTACTTCTTAGTCCTTCATAGGTCGATCAGAGTACAGAGTTTAAAAGCACAAATCTGAGTGCAGATTCTGGATTTAGATGGCTTGGGTTTGAATTCTAGCTCTCTCGTCTGTGCAGCTTTGTAAACTTGGACAGCTCTAATACCCTCTCGGTGCTTCAGTTTGCTTACTGTTGTTGAAATAATGAGGTAAATTTGTGTATGATTGAACTTGGACAATGTCAGGGACACAGCTGGTAGACGATGATTACTGCTACTTGTTAGAGAGCTCAAATTCTTTTCAGTTAAAACACAGCGGACTCTGCGTGTTGGTAAAAAATTTAAAATTTCGTAGAATCATGTGAATCCACCATGTAGTGAAATGTGATGAAAATCAGAAATGGTTGAATAATGGTCCCAAAGTCATGTATTTCATCTATGGCATAGGCAGGACGCTGACCTAATTTTGGCTCCATTAGAATTGACTTCCTTTTAAAGCAGGTATACATTCGGACAAATTTATAAAGTGCTTCCATTTTTCAGGAATAACATATTAATATTGATTGCACCCCTGAGTTCTCATAGCATTTGCTACCTGATGGTTATAATTATTAATTTGTATGTGCATTTTTTACGTTTGCGGTGAGCAACTTGAGGGAAAATACCATTTTTTTCCTATATCGTTAGTCCCTAGCTTAGTACAGAATAAGTGTTCCATAGATGATCAGTGATTGTATAAATTTCTAATATTTTTATCCTTTTGAATATAATTTTAAATATGTGGCTTCATTTCCAGTTTTCCAACTTCTCTAATCATACTATCCATACTATAATTTTGGATAGGGATTTTTCCTTCTAAAAGTTAGAAAAATGGTGTAGTCTAGTGATAAGGCACATCCACATTTTCACCACCAAACTATCTGAGTTCAAATCCCAAATCTGCGCGTGTGAGCTGTGGAACTTTTAGAAAATTAAACATCTATTCCTAATTTCTTCATCTGTGAAATAGACATGATCAATCAATCCACCTCATAAGGCTGTTATGAGCCTTGATAAGCTAATATAAATGAAGTATATAAACCAGTAAATAAAAGTATATAAAGATTTTTTTTTTAAATCATTTTCTGCTCTGGTTTTCTTCTGCGTGTTCTGTATAGCCACTATGGCTGATAGGTGAGGGACTAATTTTTCAATCCTATGTGGACTACCGCACTTTTATTTGTTTTTAAATTTCTCATATTATTTTGACAGAAAACTAATTTTGAGGCCTGTGATCCAAACCACTCAGCATGGTTGACGGGTAACATAACTTAATACTGCCCTACCTTGGACTGTGAATTTTGCTATTATTCAGTCATACCAGACGTTTTAAAATCTGTGACTGCCCTCTGGTGTCAGTAAGAGATTATACAGACTCTGTTAGCTGAAAACAAGTCTGCTTTTATTAATTTATTTTTAATTTTTATTTTAATCCCAGTATAGTTAAGATACTGTGTTATATTAATTTCAGGTGCACAATAGAGTGATTCAACATTTCTGCAATTACTCAGTACTTGTCAAACTAAATATACTCTTAAAATTTTTT